TTCCCAACGATTTGCTGCTGTTGCCAATTGTGACAAATTGTTTTGGATTGAAAGTATTTTTTTCAGTGAAGAAGGATATGCAAAGGCCCAAACAATGTGACAGTATGATATATATGGGTACATTAAACTATAGTAGAGTGTTAGTAGACAGAACTGATTCACTTAACTTCATGGTTTTTTCATTCAGTTCTCCATAGACATTAGTTGTTCAAACAGTCCAACTGCAGTAGCATTCATTCAACAGATGTTTTCATCCAAAGCAACAATAATTTGATAATCAATCTGGGCACATTTTCTTGAATTAAATCACAAACACCCAATGTCAGGCACATCAAACAGCTTTATATGTTTCAATCAGCCAGATAGAGAGCATAAAAAAGTTTTTTTCTTTGTATGACTACAACATGGATCATTACTTTCACTCAGAACACAACAGAGTGTTTACAAAATGAAAGCAGAGTCCAGAGTATAAATTGTTCATTATTGTTGGGGCGGCGGCACAATGGTGCTGTGTGTTTTTTTGTTGTGGAGTGCCAGTGTGATTTAAAGCTGCTGACAGCACCAGACGCTTACACTGCACTAGGCTCCTGCTGTCTCTCGTCCTCTATCATTTGTATCGATGGATATAGCCTGTCTGCTTGCCTGACAGTCAATCTGCTTCTCTCCTCTCCCTTCTTGCTTCTCTGCCTCCCTCACAGGCCACTGCTCTGTCCTGCCTCTCTATTACTTAACTTCAGTTTCTCCTCTCCTTTTTCTAGCATCCTCCTCTGCTTCTCTTCTGTTCAAGGCTTTTACAGACATTCAAAGGATTAAAAGAAGATTTTCCAAATGGCTAAATCTAGCAAACTGAAATAAACAGCAGAGGTGTGGACTGGATCCACATGACTTGGACTCAATTCAGACTCAAGTGACAAATTTGATTGATCTGACTTTAGATTTGACTTGACAAAATCAAACAAAGACTTGCAACTCAACACCAGTGACTCTGGATTTCACTTGGACTTGAGCCTTTTGACCTGAAAATACTTAAAGGTCAGAGATTAAAAGTATGTTATTTAAAAAGTGTGTCACAAATAAATTCATTTCCTGAATCAACTACCATTAACCCTATTCATTCCCAGCATGTCGACACATAATTAGAACCACTTTGTTTGAACCAATCTGACAGCATCCAATCAAGTTGCAGGAGAGAACCATGACGAACTAATGTTACGTTATGGAACGCCAGTTTTAAAAAATGATAAAAAATATAATTTCATTTGTGAAATTGTAGCGATTAAAAAAAAATGAATTGCAGTGTCCAAAACATGTGGGTCCAAAAAAACAGACAGAGGCAACAACTTCCAACTTCATTTGACATTTGAAGTTGCACAAAGAACAGTAAGTCAAGGATGATATTAACATATTAGAGAGCTAATGCTCAGCTAATGTTAGCTTAACAACCAAGTAACTTTTAACTTTTGATTTCGTAAATTAAATATACTATTACTCTGTTCATAAAATGGCATTGCTCTTGGCGAAGAGCACATGACGACTCGAAAAGTTTGGTTTTGGGACTTGACTCAGGACTTTCCTGTCTTGACCTGGGACTTAATTTGGCACATGAGTGCACAGACTTGAGATTTACTTGTGACTTTAAAAACTATGACTGGTCCAATCTCTGCTAAATACCTCATTATGTTACAGTAACTACTAAAAGAAAGTTCTGTCAACAAAATTAGATGCATCACATGAGAGACTTTATGAATTTATGTGATAAATAAAGTCATTTGCATTAAAGGTCCAGTGTGTAGGATTCAGTGACATCTAGTGGTGAGGTTGCAGGAGTAAAACTTCTCCCGTGTCCCAAGCATGTAAGAGAAATACTGTGGCAGATGAGAAAATGCAAAACCCAAATGGCCCTGTTGAGAACCAGTGTTTTGATTTGTCTGTTCTGGGCTACTGTAGAAACAACATGGCAGACTCTGTGAGAGAGTATCCACTTCGTATGTGGATTTAACAGCTCATGCTGAGGGAAGGAAAACACAACATTTCTTATTTCCAGGTGATTATAATCGAATGGAAATATAGTTCTGAATACATATTTGGTCAAATACCAAATGAATACAGATAAAAAAAAGTGTAAAGTGTGCTTGGGCAGAATTATTAATGTGACTCCTAAATATATACTGCATTAAAGACTATGGAGCCCAGAATTAGGGAGTGTCTTATCTCTGATGAACCAGTAGAGTGATGCAGTCTGCCTTCTGCTACTGAGAGACAGCTCAGCTTAGTTTAGTTCTGCTTAATTTACTGTTTGAATGTGGTTTACATACATAACAAGTTTGATATCCTCTTACTTTTATATAAGTGTACACTTAAAGCATGTATCTTGTACAGTGTTAATATAATGGAGGATTTTATTTTGGATCATTAAGAGAAAGGAAGAGAAAATGTTAAATGAAGATTGTTCAAAGTAGAAAAGTATCTCTGTATCCAGACGTGAACAGAATAAACCAGAACACAGAAAATGGAGATGCTTGACCAGTTAAACAGTGGAGTTCATTGACCTACAGTGGCAACATTACAGATGAACAAATGTGTATGTTTTCTCTCAGCCTCTCACTCCCTAACACACACACACACACACCAGAGAGAGAGAGAGAGAGAGAGAGAGAGAGAGAGAGAGAGAGAGAGAGAGAGAGGCCCCTAACAGTACCTGTGTGTAGAATAATCCTTCAGTGTAGTTAACACCTGTGTCTGTCTGCAGAGAGATCTAGCAACTCTCTGTCCACCTTTGTTTCAGAAACATTGTTGTGATGTTGATGTTTTGCTCAATCCACAGCAAATGCTCAGGAGCTTAGCATCTCATTGATAGCAGATTTAACAACACCATATTTAGAGGGAAACACCACCTAAATTTAGAATTCCAGTGGTATTTCCAAGGCTTGGGAAGATTTAATCAATATTTGTGAACATGAGCTACTCTCTCTCAAAGCCAGGAACAAAAGTCTCAGAGTCTCACTCTTGTGATGTCATAAGGTCTAAGTCTGGAGCTGCTCCATAGACAAACAATGGGAGGCTGATTCTGCAGACCCAAATAATGTTTGTTTTCCTTTTTAAAACCCAAAAAGGGGGTTTATTCTATTTTAGTGTCCCCAGTTCTGAAATTTGAGTTTTATCACTCTAGTTTTTGGATTTGAGAAAGAGTTGTTCATTTTGCTAATATGTTTGGACTGTCTTAGACCATAGGAATAACATGTATGATTTTTTTAATGGATGCAGTTCCCTTTTAACAAGAGGGTCAGATGTTTTCTTTTGTAATATTTTAATATGAAATTTGCTTGCTGTCGGATAAATGTTGTAGAGTAAAAAAAAACTATTTCTATCTAGAGTGCTGTGTGTTGAACCCAACGCTCAAATAATGGCTCACGTACCTCCTACTTGAGTACAGTGGGCTACTTGAATAAATATACTGCTACAGTAAAAAGTATTTTCAGTCTCTTGAATTAAATAATTTCCTATTTCAGGGGTGTCAAGGATTTGAGGACATCGGGGCCTTAGCCTGGACCTCTGTAGGTGGTTCTTAGGGTGTCTGGATATTTCCTAGATTAATAATAAAATTGGGATGTTGAAAATATTGGTAACTGTTAGTAATTAGTATTGATTAAAAACAGAATACATTGCAACTGCTTTCACCGAAATTCTGAGAATTTTGGGGTGCTTATACTGGATTATTTCCATTTTATGCTACTTCATACTTCTGCTCCACCACATCTCAGAGGGAAATATTGTACCTTTTACTCCACTACATTTATTTGTCTGCTTTAGTTACTTTGAAAACTTTGACTGATATTACAAACTATAATCATCTAATAAATGATGATGTATACTTACAGATTAAACTACCCAGCAGTATTATAAATCTCCACCTTTAACAGCTGCAACACTGAAGTCACACAAAATGTACTGCTTGAATGACACAGAGGACGCAAAGGCTGCATTTTTGATCAACAATATGATATTATTTTCAAGGGATATAATGCATGAATGAAATGCAGTTCAGTTCAATAGAACTTGATTTATCCTGAAGAAAATTCTTGTGCCAGAGAATGCTTAAAATTACAGTAACACAAATCATAGTAACAACAATTTACATTCACAAACCTGTAACAATGGTCACACACTGGCCCTAGTTTTTTTTTTTTTTTTTTAAATTATAGAGTATTAAACATCAGTCAAAATATTAAAAAATATACCAGATATAACGTGTTTAAGGAGTTAAAAAAGCAAAAAACAGTGCCTAATAGAGTAACAATAGAAGTAAGGTTAGTACAAGAGCAGAGTGTGCGTGATAATAGTTATATTGTGCAATTAATATATAACAATGTGAAGAAGTATTGCATATAACATTGAGACACTAATACTGCATATGACATTGACAAGTGATCATAATATTAGAAAAGTAATATTGCACAAGATAATAAAAAGTAGCGTGTAAAAGTGATAGTGCAGCTAATATAGGTCAATATTATTGTCAGTGTCCTTTGTTTCAGCCCTCCTCCCTACAGAAGAGGCAGGGGTTATACAGTTTGATGGCCACAGGTAGAAAAGATCTCAAGTGGAGCTCTGTGGTGCTCCTGGGTGGCCTCTGTCTATGGCTGAATGTGCTCTGGTGACTCATGAGTGAAATTACACATTACTGGATCCGGGTCTTTTTTGTTGTTTTTCTTAGGCCTATTTTTAATTATTTATTTTTTTGAATATCTATAAAGCCTTTTGAGATCTGGGGTTATTCATAAAACACAGGCTGAAGCCTCGGACACCCAGGCCCAACAACGCCACTGTCCTATTGTGATGTAGCCTACCCAAACTGGTTTACGAGGGAGCGCCCTCTCCTCGGCACTTTCCGGCTCTTTCCGTCCATGTTGATGTTGGGCTCGGCACCGCCTCTCCCAGACTGCTTTATGTCTGGCAGCAGAGACCATGCGCGGTCGCCATATTACGGAGCACCCCTCCCCTTCAGTCCCGTCACAGCACAGAGCCACAGCAGCGGTGCAGGAGGCTACATCCTGAACAACGCTACCGCTGGGGAGGACCAGTGATACAGCAAAACCAAGACCAAAACGAGGACTCAGTGGAATGGATTAAACCCTTGTACACCGCTGTTAAGTGATCGTAGTCGGTTTTACATCGCTGTGCACCGGATAAAAGGTTGCTTGTTTACATTTTCTTTTCTTTGAACAGATTCAGCAGCTAAAACGACTCGCTATAGTCTGTGTTTAGCTAGCCGGTGATGGAGACTGGCAGCTAGCTAGCTGACGTTACTCCTCTGTCAGGCTAGCATCTAATATAAGGCTAACTTACTTAGCAGCTATTCTGCGTTTAATACCAGCGGCTGTTACAACATAGTTTCTCGGCAGAAAGCCCACAAAATGTTAGCTTGTGTTTAACAAAGGCACAAACGGACAACACTGGTAGTTAGCCGGCGAATTAACATTGGCACCAGCTGACGTTAGCTCGCTAGCTACTCAGCAAGCAGCCACTAGCTTCTTTTGCCTCGCTAACTGTCACTGGAGAACACTGGATCGTGTATGAGAGGCTGTAAATATTGGCACAACTTTGTCTGATAATCCAGAACAGCCGGTTCAGATATTTATTTTTTTTGATCGTGTTGTCTGTTGATCGTAGTTTAGTCAAAACGGCGCCGTTAACGAACTGCAAGCTTATCACATACTGTCAGAGACCAACTACCCCCCGGATTCTCTCGAAATGCATCATCCGGACCCTGCAGGAGACTCTGGCAGTGTTAGAAAGATGGCGCACCCGGCTGTCTTTCACAGAAGGGGTAGCAACACGGGCAGCGGGAGCGGCTCCGCGCTGTCAGCGCCGGCAAACCCGGTGGTCAATAACAGCCACGTCCCCGCCGATGATTATCAGCCCTCCCTGTTGATTCAGTGCCAACCTCCTGCTGGTTCATCCTCCCCGGGTCCCCATCACATCCCACCCCACAGCCTGAATCTGCAGCCCCAGCCCACACAGTCGACTGGAGCTCAGATAAAGAAGAAGAGTGGCTTCCAGATCACAAGTGTGACTCCAGCACAAATATCTGTGAGTACCAACAACAGTATTGCAGAAGACACAGAGAGCTATGATGACCTGGATGAGTCCCACACAGAGGATCTCTCTTCTTCAGAAATCCTGGATGTGTCCCTCTCCCGGGCTAATGACATAGTGGGAGCAGAGAGGAGCTCCTCGGAGGAGACGCTGAATAATTTCCATGACGCAGAGACCCCTGGAGCTGTCTCCCCCAACCAGCCTTCACACCCCCATGCCCTGAACCAGGCTCAGCAGCATGGTGGGACCATGGTGAATGGGACTGTGCACCATCACCATCCAAATCATCCTAACCATGCCCAGGTCTACCCTCTGTCCTCTGGGCCTGGGAGCACCCCATCTGCCCTCACTTCTGGAGCTTTACCTTGTGTCACCCAGAAAATGCCTTCTAACATGGGGGTCCCTCAAGAGAATGTTTCCCAGGCTGCCCCTCCAAGTATTGTTGCTCAGCCCGTGGGGGTTGTGGCCCCGGGATCTGTCCCTGGAATGCACAGCTCTGCTACGGGCACTACAGTTAGCATAGTTAATCCCCAGACCAGCACTGTTAGTAATGTGAATATGTTGAGCTCTGCCAACGTGCCTGTGAGAGGGGGGATCAGCACGAGTGTTAGCAGTAGCAGTGGTGGCTTTCCTCTCAATGTGATAAGCGGTGGTGGGGGGAGTGGAGGTGGAGGTGGAGGTGGTGGTGTTGCAGCTGGGGGTAACCTTATCACCACCACTAATGTCAGCATGATCCAGCAACCCCAAAACATCAACTCCAATATCGCTATGACTACTACAACTACTGCTGCTGTTGTCAGTACCTCTGGAGGGATTGGACTCTCTGGTGGGATCCAGGGAAGAGTTGGGTCTGCTGTGCCCCCGCCTGTGAGTGCCCCTGTCACAGCTGTGGCCACAGCCTCTGTCCCATCTGCTCCTGCCCCAACTCCAGCCCCTGCAGTGGCTACCACCAGTTCCCGCTTCAGGGTGGTGAAGCTGGACTCTAGCTCTGAACCCTTTAAGAAGGGCAGATGGACATGCACTGAATTCTATGACAAGGAGACCCCGGCTTCTGCTCCCAGCTCTGCTGCATCTGATACTGGGTCTCTCAGCATGCGTCAGTTTGTCTCTGAGAGCTTTGCTGGGGCCTCAGAGAGGGAAAGCACAAGTGGTAGTTCTGTGAGTAGCACTATGAGTACATTGAGCCATTATACTGAGAGTGTGTGCAGTGGAGAGGCTGGGGGACCCCCAGTCCCCCAGCATGCCCAGGATTACGCCTCCCCTCCTCAGGGCTTTCAAGGAATCCTCCCCAGTGGCTTAAGCATGGGAGTGTCCCAACCTCACATGCACCCCCAGGATATTACCCATTCACATTTGAAGACTACTGTGGCCCCCTCGGCTCCCACTAGCATTCATCAGCCCGCTCCCATGCCAGGTCATCAGACTGCCACTGGACTCCCTACGCAGGCTGTACCCCAGCAGCAGCTCACTTACGCCCAGGCAGTTGCTAATCAATCCTCAGGCTCCACACAGGGCTTAGTGGGTGTTCAGCAGCAGCAGGTCGGCTATGCCACCATGCCACAGCAACCATCTGCTACCCCCCAAGCTGCCCAAACGCAGGTGAGGCCACCCGAGTACACCCACCCACACCAAGGTATCCCCCAGGCTGCAGCTTCTCAACCTCTGCCTAATCAAGCTGGATCAGCTCCCTCGGGGTCAGCTAATGGAGCATGTCAGATGATGGGAGGCCCGCAGCAGTCACAGGCACTCCTTCACTCACAGGCCCAGCAGCCCTCCTCCCTTCAGTCCGCCACCTCCAGTATGCCCCCTCATGCTGGAGCACCAGGTCTTGGCCAGCAGCCTCAGAGCCACCCAGGCCATCTGGACTGCCACCAGCAGAAGCCACAGTCACTCCCAACACAAATCCAAAACCCCGGCCTGGGCACCCAGCTGCCCACAACAGTCCACCAGAGCCAAGTGTCTGCACCAAGTGTGCCTCCTCCAAACCCTCAGAGTGCTCCCCAGACCCAGCCCCAAGCCCACAACACTGGGAACAGTGGTAGGATGCCCCAGCAGGGTGTTCCACAGAGCCAACTGTCTTGTGTCAGCATGTCCCAGGACCACAGCAGCACCCTGGCCCTGGCTCATGCTGCCCAGGCCAGTGCCCTCTACGCTAGTCTGCCCACCTTCACCACCACTCAGCTGCAGGATGCCCAGCGGCTGCTCTTCCAGCACCAGTCGGCTTTGTTGGGGCTGCCCAAGCTGTCCGGAGGAGAGGCTGGATCTGGATCCAGCACTGGCCAGGGTCAAGAAGCCGAGGTCAACGCCGCTACCGCCAGTGCCTTAACTGCATCAGCTGGTCTCAAGGCTGTGGATGGAGAGGAGGATGGGTAAGAGATTCAATTTCCTCACTTTTGTCACTTCTTTGTTTATTTGATTGGTTGTAATCAGATTTTACTAGTGTTAAATCATGTGTATCTGTTACATGTGTCTTTGTAGACCAACTCAGCATTCAGAGTCTGTTTAAAGCTGGATGATTTCACTGGTTGCTGTGGCAGCTGTGAGGAAAGAAAAGTGTTATTGTTTTCCCAGCTAGCCAGCAGGCAGTTGCCAGGCTGCCACAGTCTGTCTGTCTGTTCTCTGTCTGTGGGACACAGTGCAGGGCTCAGCTGGATGTGACGTCTCTTGTCTTCATCAAGTGGCTGCAGTGATTCGACATTTTACCTAGCCTGACTCCTTGCTTAAACCCCGACTGTCTGTCTGCCTTACAGGGCACAATTTCTGCTGGGTGCACAGTTCACCGTACACACTCTCTCAGCACATTTGTTGTTGAAAAGCAGGAAACAAGGCAGAGGTTGTATGATTATTTAATGAGAGACCGAAGAGAGAGGGAGGCTGCAAATATAATAGAAATAAATAGTTTCATTCTACAGATGAGACAAAACATTACGGGCAATATTTAATTTTGTTTTACAGGCTATTTTCAAAGCTAACTTTAAATGAACTCATGAAGAAGAGATGGTGGTTTCCTTGTTGACGTGAAAAGTATAGCGCAGTAGTACTTTTCCTTCACTAAGAGCTTATTGATTTTATTAAGAGCTCACTCTCACTCCTCTCACTATCTCTCTTTTTCCTCCATCTCTCTCTGTCACTCAGCTGAAAAGTCTCCTGGAATGTCCCCGTAATAAGTTTTAAGAACTGATTTTGAGGTTACAGGGGAATTTTAATCACCCAGCAGCAGCAACAGCAGGAAATTGCCCACATTTCAGTCACTCTTACAATCCTAAGCCCATTTTCCCAACACCTTTAAATGTTATTACCTTGGCTTTAAGATGCTGTGCATACCCGAGTTATAATTATAAAGATGAGTTTATTACTGGACTGGTTTACATTACTGGGTCTGTAGAGATTAACGTGGATGTAATCATGCTAGTTTTGTTTCAGTCTGTCTTTATGGGCCAGCTAGATGGAAACTGAAGGATGGCTACTGTTATCACATGACGTCTAACTCCGAGGAATGTGAAATCTATGGGGATCAGGTGGATTATTGTCTTTGATGATAAGTAGCATTTGGGTGAAACCAAAGCCCTTGTTTCAAACGAGAAGATTGTCTTGGTGAATTAGGCTCACGGCTGGTTTCTCGGTAGTTTACCTGCTGTCACGAGAATGCAAATAGGTAACAGAAGTCTGTTTGCGCAGTAAGGGGTGGCTGCAACTGGAACTGGTTGTTTCTCTTCCATTCTTAACCAGTGACACCCATTGACACAAAACAGTGCAAACTCAGAGATGACAGCACAGTCTCATCAGCTGATGCAAACATGCTTGTCCATGCACCCTTAGGGCTCATTGATACTCCCTTTACATACAAAAATAGATATGTCCATTTCAAAGATTGTGAACGTCACTGCCCTCATACTTCCACGTGTCCTTTATGTTGGCATAAATAGAGCCAATAGATGACACTTGTCAAAAGTTTCACACAACAACAAACATCATGCCAGTGTATGAGTATTGTTTTCAGTCGTTGTTAACAGCATTTATTTAAGATGAGCATTTATTTGGAAGTTAATTGCGATTTAAAAATGTCTGATGTATGAATATTAGAAAACAACGGTTAGAAAAAGAGACACTAATTTGGAGGTCAACTTTGCATTGGTTTTTGGGGTAAGTGTTTGGGACCAAAAGGGGGAATAACAGTGATTCAAAAGGCACACTACGCACATTAAATAAGCAACATATTATATATATTGCGAAGCTGGTAATATTTGAATTTTATTTAAGTTGTGATGGATGTGTTGATTTTACTCTGTGGAGGTTTCTGAGGCTGTTTTGAAGGTGTCTGCATCTTGCAAATGTGGCAGCAATGTTCACCTGTGGTCAGGAGAAACTAAACCATGTGCATATTGCACAGTGTTTAGTTCGGGTAACCTGGGGCATTGAAGCATTCCCTTTGAAAACACAAGGCCAGGCTGCCTCTGTCTGCTTAGAAAGCTTGATATCTCTGTCACGTACCTTTTTTAACTTAATGATATTAAATTGGGGCTGGGCAACAACTTCTGTTTGCATTTTTTTTTTCAATTTGCATTCATTTGGACAACAGGGTTTTGTTAATGTCAGAGGCTATGTGTCTATTTCATCACAGTATGATTGCACTAAAAGTCCACTATTTTTGAATTTTTTGCCTTGAATCTGATAGTTGTAATTTAGGAACGACAGGTATTGATTACTTTCACTTTGCTGCTAAAAAATGATGGCCATTTTGTGCAAAGAGGCAGTAAAGTTTGAGTGATCGCACCTTTTTAAAGTCACTTTAATGGAAGCATTTCTCAGACTCTGGACCTTCTTCCTTTGTGTACTAATTGCAGAGGAGCCAGCCCCTCTAATAAAAGTTGATTTGTTCTCCATCTGGTAGGAATGTATTTACAAGGGTGTTCTGGGTGGGGGTCTGTGTGCCATATCGCTGGTTGTACGCGTCCTACTGGTTCGCTGTGTGGCTCCTGTCAACATATTTTAAGGTTTAATGTGTGGGATGACCCTGCCCTTGTAAATCACCTCCTAAGGCACGGCTGTAAAACGCCAGGGTCTCTTTAGAGTATCATTGTGTGTGTGTGTGTGTGTGTGTGTGTGTGTGTGTGTGTGTGTGTGTGTGAGAGAGAGAGAGAGAGAGAGAGAGAGTGTGTTTGAATGAGGAAGTATGTCAGTTGTGAATTTGCTCAATCTGCACTGACAAGTCATTAATGGAATCTGCTCAAGATGAGTGGGTGGTCTTTATGTGTGTGTGTGGAGGCTACTGTGTATTGACTGCTGGGGTTTATAGGCTCGTTAATGGTAAAACAGTGATTAAAAAATGCTGCCAAATGTTAAATAGCATGAGCAAAATGTAACTCATGTGAGAGCAGGTATCAAAAATGATCATACGCAGGTTTCCACATGCATGACACTCTCTGTGTGAGGTTTTGGTTTTTTGCTGTTAGGCTGTGTGTGTGTACTTCAGTTTAGTTCTTGTTTCTTCAGACGGAAGATGGTGTTTTGATGAGAGGCAGTGTAAAGGTCAGCAAACTTGGCTAGCTGAGTTATAACATACAATTTAAGAGTGAAGATATTTTGTTCCAAGTTTAAACACTTTGTTTCTCAATTTTGATGTTTTATATCGGCATGTGGTGTGATCTTGGTATAGCTTTGTTTTCTGTTTTAATACTTGTCCTAATGACGCTATTATATTGGTAAAAGATATTGCATGCATTATTCCCAAGCCTTCCATGGAATGTAAAGTGACACATTGACAGCCTTTATTTGGCTTTGAAGAGGTGCAGTTTAAGATTATTTCACTCAGACTTCCTTTTGGAATAAAATTTGTCTGTTTTTACTTCATTTTGGGCAAATTGCATATATGTATGTGCCCAAAAAACAGATATGTATTCCATATTGTGTTGAATATTAGAAGCATGTGCAGTTGTTCTGACTGAAAATGACCCTTTGTTAAAAAACTCAAGGGGTTACAGTTGTGGTAACATCTTCCTTCAGCTACCATGTAGACTTGCATGTATTTGACTGACCAACGCAGTGCCAATGACGGTGCCTTGTGGCAAAAGTTGAGAGAGGTACAACTTTTTTGTCAAACTAGCCTGCATCTTTTTGCTGAAGCCCCTGCTGTGCCAATGCAATGGAAATGAATGAGGATGCTGCAACCCAGCACTATTGTTGCTCTGAACACAGCCTAAGTGTGTGTCTGAATGTGAATGTGTAAAGGCTCAGGGGAATGTGGCTCTGGCTGGCAGCACGATGGCTATCTCTGCTGCTGGCTGTTTGGAATGTAATCTTCTCTCTGGCAGTGCAGGGAGCCAGTGTGTGCTGGGCCTGTTGCTCATTGTGCAGAGATCAACGAGATCCCCAAAATTCACAACACACAGAGGAAGTGACCCAACCTGACCCAGCCCAACTTTGTCAGGTCTGCTGAAGCTCGGTGAGACAGCTGAGGACACAGCAGACCGGACCAGATGGAACCAGACTGAGCTGAGTTGTGCATCAGTGTCCCAGCTCTGATAAATCCTGCTATTGTGTTGCTCCATTCTTCCCTCCATTAGCGCCCGCTCTGTAGATGGTTTTGTGCAAGCATTGGCGTAAGGAAGTTTATACCAAACACTGACAAACCTGATAACCAGATGTTCCAGTCCCTCTTTCTACAGTGGGTCTTGGATAAAGGAAATGTTGTACTCATTGGCCACATCTTGGTTTGTTTGTCTTTTCAGGCCAGATTTTCTTTAATGACTCCACAGCTGTATGCATTTAGAGCAACACTACCCTGTGCTGAACCCTACTTAGATTTTCCTCTTCAGTATCTTAAGGTATTGTGGTGTATCATAGATTGTTTTCTTGTCATATATTGTGACTTGCACCACCATCTATGGTTTAATACTGTTGTAATCATAACAGGTGATATTGTGTACCTGTTGTACCAAACCTGTTGTATTAAAAGATCGCTCTAAAAAGTTTTGTATGGAGCATTGTCCTACATAGAGTCAACTCGATCTTGAAGTCGGTTATAATAGATTCCAGTGTTGACCAGGGCTCCAGACTTTTTACATTTGTTGCACTGGGGTGCCTAATTTTTCATTTAGGTGCATCAGCACATAATTTAGGTGCAGATACATTTTAGGCATTAGCTTTCTTTGTCAGGCCCCATACATAGTGGCCTTTTTTCAGTGTTACCAGCCGTCTAATCACATTGCAGAAGGGGCGGGACAAACACCACAAAGACCAACCGTCACATAGGACATCTTCATGTGCTGAACAACAGCAACTGCCATTTTCAGTTGGGATAAAGATACACTTTGGTGGACACACAGCCTTATTAAAGTAACAACAGCGATTTGCAAAATGACCAACCAATTTACCAACCAACCAGAGTGTGATAGTCTTGGTTGTGATGCACAAATACTGATATACAGACATCTCTTTATCCATGCAGGTCTATGGGAAAAAGTCTTTTTGGCCCAATGGTGTCATGTATTTGACCCGAAAGCTGTATTTCCTTCCACTGTTAAACCACTTTGAAAAAAATGGCTTGTTGACTAGTTACCATGCTTGGAAAATGCTTTGAATTAAACATAAAAGTTTTGTATACCTTTGCTGAAAGTAACATTTCATATATCTTGAATATGCTGATTTAGTCTTCCCAAGCTTCACTTGGTCAATTTTCTCATGTAAATCTGTGATTAAATTTGCAATTTTCATTTTCTTATAACAAAACGGAAGGTGTCAGTGATGCGCTCAATGTACTGATGTTCAACTACTTCCCTTGATGATCTATAATAACGTTTGTACTGGTCAGTCAAAAAAAGGCATTTATGGAAGACTGCTAGATCTAAATCAGAGCCGCACCTTTGTAAAGCCATTTCATCGAGCATTACAAAAATTGAGATGTTTTTTTAGCCACACTAAAGGAATCATTTTGCAAAAGAGAACTGGAAATAAGCCATGGACTCAGTATGGACAAAGGTACCAAGAAAGGCCAGGCGTGGTGCTGAGAAACACTCGCGCTCAGTCACAAAGTTGTTTTTCCGTAGCAAATGCACCAATATTGTGGCAGTGTTTGGCTGTTGCTTTTTAAATAGTGCTCTTGCTTGTCCACAGTTGGGCTACAAATGTTTTGCTAAAAGTAAACAGCGTTTGTTATTTGTTATGCTGCTGACACCTCCCCCATTCCCACCACATAGACCAAGCCAGAGAGCACCAGAACACAGCAGAGCAGCAACATGCTGTGTATGAGTGAGAGAGAGGGAGGGAGGTCTCACTACACACTACTGAATATTTACTGTCTTTCTAAGCCATGCAGTGAAAGCATGAATGGCAGAATGAAAACAACCTTGGAGTTTCTGAGCAGTTCACTGTATTTTGATGAAACAGAGGTTAATGTGTACATACCACTCACATTTGCATATGTCTGTATAAATCACGCTGTGTTTTTGTCTGTTGCTAATTTGTATGCTTTGTACAGATGCATCATTGATTTCATTTGTCTCTGCTCCTGTCTTACAGATGGTTTATTTTTCCATCAATAAACAGGATTGTTTCACTTAAGTGTGGTGGGAAAACTAATGGCTCGTAATGGATGATAATGGATTGTGTTTTTAGCCTGCCTTTCATCTATGGGAAAATTGCCCTTCCACCCCAGAGTGAATACACACTCACAGTCTCACTCACACACTCTTTCATGATAGTCTAACCTTACTGTTGTGTGACAGTCTCACCCCGCTGTTGTCATTTTGGTTCCTTTTGTACCTGAACAATACAGGATGCAGTTATATTTCTGACTCAGCAATAACTGATTTGCCTGTACATTGTCTCTCCATTGAAGGCGTCTGTAGTGCAACAAAATCAATAGACTGAGTCTCTTTGGTCATCGCAATATAATCACACCCCAAATGGGTTGCCCTGTTGGGTTCATGAGAGGTTCAGTATTGGCCTCTGTTTCCACTGTGAATAAGACAGTTTGTAGCACTGCAAAGAAAAATGTTGACCAAAATACATTTTTTGTGATAGAATTTCCTTTTCAATAAACAACAGAACACAATACAGTGTCAGTATTAAGAGGATAGTATACAAATCTAAATTCGTGTCAAAAATATTGTGGTTTCACAGTATCACTGTGTTACAGAATTATTATTATTATTATCATTATCATCAGACAGAGGGATCATTAAAGTAATAAAATGGAAATAAAATAAATAGTTTCACTTATTGCTATTTTTTTTCTTTCAGGAAAAACAACAAAATATGTTTTTATCGCTAGATTTCCACTTATATATTTTTTTTAAATGTCATTATCAAATTTGTTATAAAAAAAAATTCCTTTTTTTTTTTTTTTTTTTTTTTTTTTTTTTTTTTTGGGAAGCGACCAAACACCACACGTTCTCATAATACAAGATGAAGTGACCAATGACTGATAATGTCGAAGGACACCTCCTTAACCTTATTCATGGTTTGTTATTTTTGAGGAAGCATCCAGACCTTCCAATATATATCATTTACAAACTGATTCCAACATGCCATTATGTATGGAATAGAGACAACATCTCTTTGAAATAGGGCGTGTATGGCTGGTTATTATTTTGGGGATGTAGTGAGAAACAAATTTTTCCTCTTGGGAGTCAACTTGGTTTAGGAAAGATACATATGTAGGTGAAGGCCTAACCATATTCCTAAAAAAAGCATTAAGGTGCCTCTTTGAATGGCATTAACAATTCAACAAATTCCTTAGTGGCTACTAGGAAATTATATGTAGAGTTTTTGTGATACGTTGTTGTGCTGATCCACTTCCTCATTAGTTCAAATCCCAGATAGATCGTTTGGTTTGGTGCTCAATGGTAACATTTTACAGCATTTTTCATTTTCAAGTTTTGGCCTTATGCTAAAAGCAATAAGCCAGTACTGCATTTGAGATCTATAAAAAAGTGTTTTATTGTTTTTAATCACAGTGGATCGACACAGAGTGCAGTACTTTCTACAGACATTTTAAGCGTTCTGTGTATACATTACTTTCTTGATGTCCACCAAGTTATTTCTTTGACAACAAAAGTAATTGTACTGATGAGAACAGAGACATTTTCTTTTATGGCTGGAAAGATAGTGATGCAGTACTTTTGAAATTGGTGCTGTATGACCAGAGAAAATATTCGCTTTTGCTCAAGAGGTAGAAAACCTAAAACTACCAGGGTCAATAAACGTTTCTGCTGGTGGGTGACATAATGCAAGCTTGGCCAGGACTCAATATGGTGGCTGGCTGGTAAACTATCGTGTATTACAGTTAAACAGTTAGCTAAAATACTTTGCTGAAGACATTTTAGGCCAGAAATAGGCAACACAGTTACAGAATCTTGGTTCGCATTTGATCAGTGCTTAGTTTTATGTCAGTGTTTTCAGCCTCCGTTTTTACATACAGGAAACAGTATGGCGCTTACTTGCTGTTCACATATTCTCATAATACAGCCAAACCGTGCACTAAAAATGTTTCTGAAGACATTTAGGAGAGAAATAGGCAATACAGTAGCCTAATTTTACAGTATAGTCTGAATGGTCTGAGAGACAGGGGTGGGTATCTCTTTTGATCCACTTCTAAACTGTTTGTGTCCATGGTGGCGGGCATACAAAAATGAGGAAGTACAATCTGTAGTTCCAACTATAGCCCTAGAGCTGGCTAAAATCACGTCATTTGGCGTGACTGGTAAGATGGGCTCTGGTAAGATGGGCTTTACCACAGTTCATTTACACATACTACCCTCATTGTAATGACAGAGAGCTGGTTGACAATTGGAGAAGCGTCCTTTTAACTCAAGGATTGAAACAGGAATGACCCAAGACAATTGAGAAACTCGTGCCTGTATGTTAACATGGAGTTTGCGTAGATGCAAATAGGAGACACTGAGGAGTTGTCCACACCAACGCGGGTATTTATAAAACCGTGACTCTTTGCTCACGGTTTGGCCTTTCATCCACACGTAACCACAGTTTTGGGCCCCTGTAACCGGAGTTCAGGGTGAACTTTTTGGAAAAGTCCGGTGTCAGCAGTCATGTGTGGACAGGATAACCGCAGTTATTTTGTCTCGTCTCCGTTGTATGACGTCACAGTGTGCGACGTAAACAGAAAACAGCTGTGTTATTACCCGATCCAGTGTGTGCGAGAGACGATTTGAGGATGCACCTAAACAAAATACTGCTGCTATTTAGCAGCATATCAGCACTTTGTGGCTGTATCATACAACTAACGCTGCTCAGTGACATGATGACACAGTGATTCTCACAGAGCTGCTGAGGAATCAGAATCTGGAGTTCTTTCTGCTGAGTGTGTGTGTGTGTGTGTGTGTGTGTGTGTGTGTGTGTTCAGAGATTGTTGTTTTTCCGGTAATGACGTTTTACTGCCTTCTGATTGGTTACAATGGCCTTACAGTTAGGAGTTATATCGGCACCTACTGCTCTGGCATGTGTATTACATTGCTTGATGGTGGAATTTGCGGTGTCATGTGGACGGAGGTATTTTTATTACACTGCTCGTAGGAACGCATATTTTTTAAAAACTGGAGGCCAAAAAAGTTCCATTTTAAAAAATACCCATGCTCGCGTGGACTAGGCCTTAATGGAGCTACTATGTTGTTATAACACTGTGAGTAAAGGTCCCCTCAGGTCAGTTTTACTTCCTGTTTAAACAGAGAATGGGGGTGTGATTCATAGCTAGATATATACCCTTAACCCACTACCATAGCAACCAGATTGCAGCTACAGTACTTCAGAAAACAGCAATATGGGACTAATTTTGTTGAATTCACGGTTTATCGGAGCACAAATGAAACAATAGTAAGCACAACACACCGACTCTCTCTGTATTTGACTCTCTCTTCTTTACCATCTTCTCCTGCTGTAGCTGTCGGTTGTCGTAGTGATGAGGCGTCATTTGGCTTCTGCCTCACTAAGGAGCTGCACCACCGCACACAAGCCACAGACCATTGAAGGAAGGGTAGATATGTTGCCGAGGTCCGCTGTTTGAAAAGTTATAGGATGTTTTGGAGGTGCATCGGATGCTCTTGCCTCAGCCCAGCACCAACACCACCCCAGCCAGCACTTTTTGACTGAAAGTTGTGCACCTTAGTGTCTGGACTTGTTTGAGGCCATTGTTGGTGGATGATGCAACTTTTTAAACTGCATTTCATATTGTGATCTTCTGTAACATGTTTGCCCTTTCTGTAGTGCGTTGTGGTACTAGTCGGTGTGTTGAGCTAGTCTAGTCTTACATCATCTTACTGTTTTAGTAACACCCTTTTATTTTTTTGATTTTGAGCATAAAATAATTTTTCGTCAAAAAAATATTTGGCGAATAGTGTGGCTATAAAGTCAAGTCAGGGTTCTCGTCATTTGTAAGAGAAGCCGGCAGAGGATTGATCCTTCTGTGGCTGTCGAGACCTCCATGTTAATCTCTATGTGGCATAATATTTATGTAATGTATGACACTATTAAGTGGCGCTGATGGAGGTTTCATGTTCAGCCAGTCATTTTTATTTTTAGGCTTTAGTGGGCTGCCCCTGTCATCCCCCTAAACATGCAGGCAATGTGCTGAATCATGGCTGGCATTCCTGTGGCCAGAACACTGTCCAGTCAGCTCCAGGAATCACACACACTCTATCTCTCTCTAACACACACACACACACACACACACACACACCAACACACACACGCACTCGCAAATAGAGAGAATGCAGTGCATGACTTTGCTATCGGCGTAAGCATTCCTGCTTTTTTCTCCTCTATGTCTTTCATACCATTTGTTCTCTTCCTCTGTCACTTTGTTTCATTAGATTTTTATTTTGTTGAGATTAGTTTTTTTTTTCAACCTTACAAGATTCAAAGCTGCCAAGGTCATCCCAAGATATATTGGAGAATTCACTGCTGAAAAGATAATGACATCCTAAATTAATTCAGGCTGTGCACAAAACTATACCAGCTAACCTTAGTTGTCAAATGGCAATACATGTACTGTCACCAGCTCCTGTGAGAGATCAAACACAGCTATCTCTATAATGAGGCGAGTGTCCTGTGCGTCATAGCGACAATTTGTCTACACGTCTGTGAATATGAGTTAAATATTAATTCCTGGATTTAATGCTTGATTATTTTCATGCCATGTTTTAACTGCAGGAGAAAGGGTGAGGAATCAGCTAGGACTGCAACAAACTATCATTTTCATTATCAATTAATTTCATAATTATTTACATGATTGCTTGTTTTACGAAGTGTCACTGCATAGTAAAGGATATCCAAAGTATTCAGAATTACATAACCTCTGAGACCTGCCTGGCTGCTGGTGATCCTGGATGACATTCCTGTCTTTAAGAGGCTTCAGCAGGCTGAATTTTGAAGCTAGAGTGATGAAACTGGTATCATTTGAAACTAAAAGATCAACTATGTCATGCTAGTTTTATCAGGAAAGGGCTAAATAACACTTTAAACTTAGGCAAAATGTTGGCAAGGATAAAAGGACATGTACATTTCCCTTGACCTCTCACTTCAAGATATCTAAATTGAAATGAGTTCTTTGGGTACCCACAAGTCCCCCTTATAGACCTGCCTACTTTATGTGAGTCCCATGCAGTTAAGTGCAAAACCATGCTGCCATTTGCATGCAGTAAAAATGTGTCATTTTGCTTATTGTATTTGAATATTTCTGCATACTGGAGTCTAGTTGGAGATAGTTTTGGAATTGCATAAATTGGGTGTGACTGGAAAGTTGAGATTCTTGAGGATTCAATGAGACCAGTTTTATTCATGTGTGATGATGTGACACCCCATAGTAGCCATTTCATTGTAGTGAGACCATTTTTTGGAAACAGACATCACTGTATAAAAAAACCCTCACAACCATAAACTAGAGACCTCGTTAGCCATTCGTCCTCAGTATCTCAAGGATGAATGGCTTTCATAGATACATTGACAATATGGGAATTTCTCAGCAGTTTCCAGAGCAGAACTGCTTGCCATCTAATCACAGAAAAATTGAATTCTTACAGAAATCTCCAAATGTTGAAAGTTTTTGAAACCATATCACAGCATGGATTTTTCTATGGTGTCTTAATGTCGTATTTTGACCATTTTTATAATTCTAGAGTGGTAAAAAATGCTTACATTTTGCACCAAACCTGTGTAACAGATCGTATAAACCCAAAAATTGTTGCAACAACTTAGGAGACATAATTGAGCGTGGAAACTGTCATCATGTACTTGCATTATAATGTTCTAAGCCCCTATACAGTCTACACTTTAAAAGTTTTCATAGGAGTTATACCAAAAACACAGCGTTTATTGCAGATTTATGGCTAGACAAACTTGTCACACAGTGCTGATCTGTATCTCAGATCAATCCTCAGGTTCCCAGCTTCCAGGTGATGTGTACCACTTCTGTATGACATACACTGTTGACCTGCTACCTACCTTAAGCTTTCTTGGCCCCCTCCCTCCCAAAAAGACAAAAATGGGTCTGTATGAGTCTCACAAGGTTAAAATCCAAAGACATATTTATTACTGATAATCAAAATAGTTGTTGATTGACTAATTGATTAATTGCTGACTAATGTTTCAGCTCTAGAGTCAACAAGCTACATGTCAAGGGCAGAAAAAATCTCGACAAGACACTTACTTATTCTGGTACCTGCAAAGAAATAAAGTTCAGAAGAACAGTGTTGTAATACTAAAATTTAACTTACAGCAATTGTTTTCGAAAGCCTTTTGAATAGATAAAACATGCCTCCAGTCATTTAAAGGAACAATTTGACATTTTTGGACATTAATCTTCAAAAGAGGACATTTTAATGAAGCTGGAGATAGGTGAGGGTTAGCTTAGCTCAGCAAAAGGACTGGAAGCGGAGACAATCAGCCAGCCAGGCTCTGTCCACAAACACTCCTCACAATATCCTGCTGAAATATTAGAAGCAGTCTGATGATCATCATGCTGTGTCACAGGGGTAACTGTTGATCTATGTGGTCCGCTCAGGTTATTGGAGTCTGATAGTTTCAGCCTTTCTGCTCGGCTGTGATGACGTGAGAGCTCTATCCGCTGAGTGTCTTTTCCCATAGGGGTTGATATTCATTCACTCTCGCTTTGTGTGAGCTAATCCCCTTCTCTATGCTGTGTGGCTGAATGAGGAAAGGCTGCTGGAGGGAGGGGGTGAAGTTTTTTTTTGTTTTTTAAAATCTTTTTCCCTCAATAGTCTAGCCAGCTGCTTCTCTTAATAGCATGAATAAAGCACAGAGACACTTGTGCTCTTCATCATGTGTGTGTGGGGAACTGTGATGTCTGTGTACTATCCTCTTTGTTTCCCATTTATTAAATGTATTCAGGTTGCCCATACAAATACACTCCCTGCTTTTGAATTTAATATTGTTTTAAGCAGGCTGTGTGTGTGTGTTCAGTTCTGTTTGCAGTCCAGCTCACCCTGAGTGTTTTTGGAGTGAACAAAAAACAGACAAAACATGTCATTAATTAATTTGCTGTTAGCATTACATGCCTCATACATTTCCTTTGGTCTCTGTTGGCACAGTTGCTGCGGCATTTATGCCAACAAAAGTCTGCCTGCAAACCAATTTGAGCTCTAAATAGTGCTGCACTCCCCCCTGCTGGTTGGCAAGCATTGATCTGCCTCTATACACCAGGCTCATCATGTATGTATGTGGGTCATGTGAAGGCTGTTTTTAGGCTTAAAAGCACCATACTCGTCCCAGTGCTGACTGGTCAAGTGGCTGTGGGAGAGTGCTGAAGCACCACTGCCGAGAATGCTTCTTTTTAGGCATGGTAGCCTTGATGCTGGAAGTCGAAAGTGAAGCAGCAGTACTTGCATATATTACTTTTTTTTACCTGCTTGCACCTTGAATGATTGCCAACTAACTTTTAACCATACAGGACATTTTCCCAGTCCTATTATAATGAATTCTTATGTGTTCTTTCATGTAGCCATTGGTTTTTTAAAAATTATTTTTACTGAGCTTATAAAGATCCTTTTTTAGATTTTGAGGCTTGCATGTTGAAAGTAGTTCATTGCTGTAATCATTAAATTGTCTCTACTTTCTGAAAATCCCATTTTCAGTGAGCAGTGCTGCGGTTGAAAGTGAATTTTGAAAAGCTTCATGCATTCATGTGCTTCAACATCTGAGACTTGAGAGTCAGTCATGTGAGAGGTATTGAGGTCACAAAGCAGCTGTAAGAGTCGCTAAACTCACATAAATGACGATGTGAATTGTTGCGAAACCACTGGGGTAAGGAGTTAACAGTGTATGCACAGGAAGCAGTAGAAAACCACAATGTTTCACAGAACAAAGCTTGTGTCTTAATCTTAAACCTTCGATATCGATGTGAAGGCATGGCCTACATGGGTAGAATGAAAACATACATGTAGCAACTGCATTTACACATAAAGTTAAGAGCAGTTTGGTTGTAAAGTGCAAGTGTGTGCAAGCTTTTTTATCATGTTAATGGGAGTTGGTATGGTAAGAATATATTTTTCTTGGACAGAGGGCTTTATACTGGGGGTCTGATGGTTGGTAGTAAGAATAAGTTCTGTGTGATGATGCTTGTTATACCTCTAAAGACCAGGGACTGAGTAACTTTGAGTCTATTATGTGCAGACAGGACGGAGGTCTGGATTGAAAGCTGTTAAGTATATTCATTAAGTCATAATTGGAAGCAGTGCAGTTAATGTGAGGCCACTGTAGAGTTGAAGGAGCCTTGGATTAAAAACATGTTACATTGCCCTCTAGTGGCTGATAGGAAACACTACATGACAGATGAACTGAAATGTGTTAAAGGCTTTGTTCAACTTAGAGCTTTATTTTTGGCTTTGTTCATTTTCCAAGTAATTAATCATTATTATAAGATGCACTTCATGAGTTTTCTACGATTGCAAATGAAGCTAAATTACTGTGATTATAGTTCTGTGAGGTCCAAATCAAATGACGAGCACTTGTATT